TTTTAGTGTCATTTCCCTTTGTTTTGGTTCTTTTTTCCTGGCTTCCCCAGTGCGTTGCGTGTCCTGGCAGCACTCGCCTTCGCCCTCTGCTCTCGCTCATTCCCTTGCTGCATCCTCCTCTGCCCGCCCCATGCCTCCCTCTCGTGTGTTCGTCCCCTTGCACTTCTCTCTCCTTCTCTGTATAAATATCAGTGGTGACAAACTGCTACCACCAGCCCATCTGTTTCTTTGTACAAATTTGTAGCCAGTTTTGAAACGTGATTTATAAATATTGCTTTTGCAGCCAAGGAGTGACACTGATGGATGTCAGCACAGATGGATTCGCTAAGCTCCTGCTTAAATCCTTCTCTTTTTTTCTTTGCACCTACTTCCCCAGTTGCTGCAAGGCAGTAGAAAGCGCCTCAGCAGTGCAACGTGTCCTCGGTGCGGCAGGGACCGTGTCCTCTCAGGAACCCTCGCCCTCCCCGACTCTGCAGTCTGCCAGGCCGGGCAAGAGCACCTGAGCCACCGCGTGGACGGTAGACGGGGAGCGAGGGGGCCACGGCCAGCAGCGTGAGACCGCCGAGCTGCCGGAGAGGGGCTCCGCACTGCGACCCGCGGGCCTCGGCACCAGAAAAAGCAGAAGGACCCAGAGGTAGAGTTGGCTAAATTTTAAAATTAACAGCCCTCTAGCACACGAGGAGCAGAGCCAGCTGGGGCAGTGTGCGAGGTCAGGAGAGGATGCCGAAAGTCATGTGGGCTGCTCTTGCGTTCCTTATCAGCAGCGTGAGGGGATTTTAGGGACCGTCCTGGGAGATGGGGCAGCCTGTCCATGCAAAGAAGACGTAGTAGAGTATTTGCCAGGTACGTGGGTGTACGTCAGTGGTCACAGGGCAGGTCTGCTGAGCCTGGGGTCACGGTGCTGCCCCTTGCCCAAGCCCTGCTGGGTCAGGCCCCGCTGTGGTCAGAGCTGTGCGGAGAGTGAGATGATCCTTGCAAAAGGACCTGCAGCTCCGCTTGTCCTCTCCTGGTTCCCTGTGGCATGCAGTGGTCTGTGGCTGCCAAGAGCGGCCTTGGCTCTCACGCTCCAGGTCAGAGAAGTAAGAGCGAAAGGTGACTCTGCAGGAGGCTTCCCATTAGCTGAATTACAGCTGAAGCAGTTTGCAGGCGTCAGGCTTTTAGAAATAGTGCCATTTCCTACCTGCATCCTTCCTCCTTTAACTCCTGCTCTGTCTGAGGGAGTGCTCAAGCACTTCTTAATTCATCAGACAAGGAATAAAAAGTCATGTGTGATAGCAATGGACCAGATCCAGAAGGAAGATACCCAGCAAATGAAGCGCGTAAAGGAAGAGATAGAAGGAAAAGAGCTGACCTCACCTGGTTCCAGTTTGTGCCTTTCCAAAAGCATTCACCATCCTGTGGCTCCTAACTCCCTCTTTTCTGTGTCTTTCTGGCCAGAGAAAAATGATTAAAGAAGCATCAAAGGTAATTAAAGCCCAAAATCATGTTCTCCAAGAAATCCTAATTGTGTTGGAAGGGATGGTAGAAAGAAACTAAGCCCTGCAACCTGGAAGGGTTGGTGGATAATATGGAGCGACACATGGATGCTACTGACTCCAGAGCTCAAGGGCTAGGGAAGCAGATGTCTGAACTCTCGGCAGGTCTCATTAAGAGGATGTAACGGATGAAAATCTTAACAATCAAATGCAGAACATGAGGATCTGAAGCATGCCTGAGGATAGAGGAAGCCTCCTCCAGCCACCGCAGGGATGCCATTCTCCACGTGAACAGCGCAGGTGGTGATCTGCCGTGGGGTGAAACGGAGCGCTGGATCTCCCCGGGGACTGAGCAAGGGGCAAATGAGCTGCAGCAGCAGCGTGGTTGGCACCCGGAGAACCTGGGCCGAGAAAGAGGCAAAAGAGGAAGACCCAAATTCTTCTCATTCTGGCTGCCCCTGCCACGGGGCTGGGGAGGGAGGTCCATCCTGTCAGGGAGACCTTCCCAAGAGTGGGCGGCTCCGGCAGCAAAGTGGCTGTGGGCCAGGCCGAGAGCCGTGCACTAACGAGCTGGCGCATCTGGGGCCGCTGGAGCTGCAGAGCAGCTGCTGGAGATGGCAAAGGCAGATGCTCGCTGTGGCCCTGGGAGTACAGGAGAGGGCTGGGATATCTAAATCCAGACTGGAGGTAGATTGCGCTCTTTTGCTTTCCTAGTGCTGTTTGAGATTGAGTTATGAGAAGGATTTATTAGCTCTGTCTTTGAAGCTGCCAAGAGCCTCTTTGGAGAGGGAGTTTGAGAGACTTAATTATTTTATTATTCCTAGTTACCACCAGAGAATATTGCATTCCTAAACTTCCCTCTTACAGCGATATTGACTGGTCCCTGCACACTTGACTCCTGTTGCTTTCTATCTTGCCTTGTGAATTGCTCCTTGAGGAGACAGAGATGTTGTTTCCTGTCCTTTGCCTGAAATGATCTGATGTGACATGGGATAAAAATCACCGCGTGGTCAGGGAGAGGGTGACACAGGAAACCTGTGGAGGAATATAAAATGTCAACTTGTCTAGCGAGGCAGCAATGACACTAAACGGCTTGGCTCATGGGCTGCAGAGCAAATGCAGTAATACCTTCAGAGTGGTGTGATGGTAGCTCAAAGTGCGACCTCACACAGACTGGACAGGAAAACACATAAGTATGGAAGAGGTCCAAACTCCTCAGTGCAGAAAAGCTGCGGCTCAACAAAGCTGATTTCAACATCTGCTGCAATTTCCATGCCACCTCATGGGAAACACTGCTCTCAGCTTTGTGGCCCCAAAACTGGGCTTAGCAGAAAGCTGCTACCGATGAAGGGACAAGAGAGGCTGTAGGGCCAAGGCCTTCCTAGCTTGTCTTTGCAACAACTCTTGACTGCTGGTGCAAACAAACCTACCCCAAGACACAAAGCCTGGAAGGAACTGCCTCAGGTCGGAGGCGTGTGAAGAAACAACTGTGCTGGAGGGAAATTACATTGTTCTGTAAGAAATTGCTTTGAATACATTTTCCAGGATATATTTGTCCAGATCTGGGCAAAAGTTACCTCCCTTCTATGTTCACATGGGCTATGTGGCATGGCAGCAGCACTGTTTTTTCTGGAGCATCTCATTCTTATATGTGTGGCCCAGAAGGGAACGCAGGAAAAGTTTGCAAGTAACGGGTGTAAACTCTAGAGAGGGAAGCCGAGTTGTCCAGAGTGCCCAGGGAGGTGGGGGCACAGAGGGGCAGCGGGGAGGCGTCTCCGTGCCCGGGGACCTGCAGAGCTGGTGCCGTGAGACTCGCGCCGGCTATCCGGCACTGGTGAGCAATGTCTTTGGAGCACATGTGAAGTTGCTGTTGCTGCTCTTCCTGTAGGAAGTGTTGCCATCATCCTGTTCAAACGTTGTAAAACATTTTCTCTCTTGAAATAGTGTTTTGTACTTAGGATTTCTGTCTCTCTTCCTAGCGCTAAGTTTTGGGTAACAGAGCAAGATCTCAGCCCCTTCCTGGGCTGAGGTTCCTCAGAGCTGTCTGTCATGCTGCTGCTTGTATTTAAATGCTGGCTGCTTTATTTTGACTTTGTGGGGTCAGCAATGGAAATCTTCCTCCTTTCCTTTTTGGGAGGGGAGGGGGCTCAGCAGTGCCGTCAGTATC